CAAAGATTGACAAGCTTTTCATATCTAAAAGTTACCTGCACAACCTGCTCTCCCAGCCTAACATTGGCACATCTTAATAGGGGTTCTTTGATGTTTATGGATACTAGCATTTTTAACATTTTACCACCATGACTCCCAGCATTGACTACAGTGACATTCTTGATTTCATCAAATAGCTTCCCAATTTTTAGGCCAACTTCTGTACTAAGCCAATTAAGAGGAATGTTCAAAACCTGTACCCATATGGTGAGTTGCTTGAAGCATTCGTGTTGTCTTGTTAGTCCTTCTCTCCAAGCAGACAGAATCAGAAATTGATTTTCAAAACTCCAATTAATGCCACCTAGAACCTTCTGCTGGTCTTCCTTGTTTTGAAAAATGAACTGAAAATAATTCGCCCCTAATTCCTTGACTTCCATCGGTTGAGACAATTTCCAGATATGAGACATGGCTCTCTTCACTCCAATCCAACTCGCTTTTCTATCCCCAACAATTCTTCCGAATAAACTTCTTTGACACTCCTCATCGCTGATTTTTATATCACGCTGCTCGATATCTATAAAGGAGGATTCTCTTTCTGAAAGAGAAAATGAGCTTAGTTTATGTGAAAGATCTTCCTCCAAATTAGAATTACTGCTATCTTCCATCGGGCATAACAATGTGAGGAAACCCTAATGAGATTTAGGAGTGGCCAAAAAAAACAGGGTTTCGAAAGTACGCAATGAGGTAACAATAGACTATAAGAATTCAGGGGAGATGAACAACCAATTATCAACAAGAATAGGAGAAATTAAGGAAAGGATCTGAAGATGCGGATGAACTGAACTTAATCGCTCTCAACGAGAGAATATCGGCTCTCAACGAGAGAATTTTGTTATCTTCCATTTCCTTATTTAATAATCTTATTATAATTTGGATTTGAAATTTAAAATCCATTTTAATTTCCAACTATTAATTAGTAATTCTATTAATTACTAAATTAATATCCAAAATTCAATTAATCAATCTAATTGATTAATTTAATATATTCTTTTAATTGATATCTAATCAAATTAGATTTGTCAATTAATTCTAACTCTTTAGAGATACTATTTGAATTTTACCTTCATTCAAAAATTGGTGTGACCTTTTAGGTTCACAATTAATACTAGTAGTGGGTTTACAACTCTTTGTAATTTGAGTTATTCATATTAACTCTTATTCTTGAATTAACTCTTTAATTCAAGAACCCACATATCATGGGAACATCTAGCAGTAGCATGAATCTAGTATTAAGTGATTAGCGAGTAAACCTATTTCGATTACAAGTCCATACATGTAAAATCCTTTCGATATCCAATTTCTCGATTAAATCTTTGGGTATGATTTTGTCGAAACCCAAATTGATTTAATAACTATGATTCCATTTCATGTTTAGTAATTCGTTTATGAATCTCTATTCATCCCGCCTTGGCCAAGGACTTTGAATTACTAACTATGAAACACATAGGAAATTCACTTACCTTCATAAGTATCGAATCCTTTGTTGTCCACTGACAAACTTCCATACATATTAATATAATACCCAAAATATCCCTTTATACGATTGTGCTAGCAATCAAAAGGATAAATCAAAGTAAAATATAATATGCACAAAATTACCATCGTGCCTCAAGTATAAGGATTAATCATGTACTATTGTAACATGAAAATTCTTATTCGACATGATAAACTTTCATTAAGAATTTTCATACGGTCATGTTCAGTGAACTTGTTCTATAACAAGCACCCACATATATGTATTTGCATCCCACGCTACTGTTGATGGAATGCAACATTCTTATCTAATAAGCATACATAATATGTGCAAGTCTTTTCCGGATTTATTCGATATCCCATCTCGAAACATCCAACGACTTGGAACTGTATTTAAGATCACAGCTTTCAAGATATGTTCCATGATCACCATCTCTATGCGCAACCATATCTTATAGTTATAAGTGATCTAGGGATTTTATCTTAAGTGTAAATATATGATAAATGCTTACTCTTAAAATAAAGTAATGCCGTATTTTTTAATATAATTCCAATAGATTGTATTTACAAGTAGAATACGTCCAATCCGATTGGAACGCCGGGTATACTACTCTAACATTGCTCACACGCTTTGGTACGTCCGATTACCATAACTACAACGAGGCTCTCGCATGAATACGCCAGACAG